CTTCGACGTGGAGGCCCCCCCGACGCTGCCCCCCTGCAAGGTAAGGACGTGGCGGGGGGCCCACGCCCCCATCCCGGGCTGAGGGGGGGGGTGGCTGTCGCCTAGGGAGTAACCGCTGCTCTCCCCCCCCTCTTCAGGGCAGCTACTTCGGCTCAGACGACCTGAAAGTTTTGGTGCTGCGGTTCTTACAGCAGTGAGTGCCGGCGCCGGGGAGGGCGAGGGTCTCGCCCCCCACCCTTTTTCACCCCCCCTCCCCTTTCTGTGTCCCCCCATCCCCAGGTATTACTCCATCTACGACTCCAGCGACAGGCAGGGGCTGCTGGACGCTTATCACGACGGGGCCTGCTGCTCCCTCAGCATCCCCTTTGGGCCCCAAAACCCCCCCAGGTACGTCCCCTCGCTGCCGGACGCGGGGGTGGGACAAGAGGCAGGACACCACCACCACCACCACCACCCCCAGCCTCGCCGCAGCCTTTACAGGCGCTTGTCCCCGCAGGAACAGCCTGAACGAATATTTCAAGGACAGCAGAAATGTGAAGAAGCTGAAAGACCCCAGTAAGCCCCCCCGTTGCGTCCCCACCCTGCGCCGAGCCGCCCTGGGGGGGGACGGGCTGCGTGGCGGCGGGGAGGGGGGGCTCAGCGTTGGTTTTCCTCCCCAGCCATGCGCTTCAAGCTGCTGAAACACACGCGGCTCAACGTGGTGGCTTTCCTCAACGAGCTCCCCAAGACCCAACACGACATCAACTCCTTCGTGGTGGATATCTGCGCCCAGACGGTGAGCGGGGGGAGCAGCTCCTTTGCCCCCCACCCTGCTCCGGGGGCACCCTGCCACCCCCTTCACCCCATCCCCCTCTTTTTCAGAACACGCTGCTTTGCTTCGCCGTCCACGGGATCTTCAAGGAAGGTGAGCGTCACCCGCCCCGTGCCCCCCGCCTTGCCGCAGGCCTTCCTCCCACCACCTCCTCTCCCTCTCTCCCGCAGTGGACGGCAAATCCCGAGACTCGGTGCGGGCCTTCACCCGGATGTTCATCGCCGTGCCGGCCGGCAACGCCGGGTAAGTCCACCCCCGGCCCGGCCGGCAACGCCGGGTAAGCGGCGGCTATCGGCTACCGGGACGCCAGCCGGGTTTTCGGCCCCGATAAAAGCTTCACGGATGAAGCTGTTGACGCACGGGTGCGATGAGCAGAGAGCGACGTGGATTGAAAACCCAGGAGCGGGTCCGGTTCTGGGCTCCCCAGTATGGATGGATGTACTGGAGCGAGTCCGGCCAAGGGCCGTGAGGATGAGGAAGGGGCTTGGAGCATCTCTGTCCTGTGAGGAAGGGCAGAGAGAGCCGGGGCTGGTCAGCCTGGGGAAGAGATGGCTCCGGGGAGACCTTATTGCAACCTTTTGGCGCTTCTCAAAAAGATGGGGACGGACTTTTGAGCAGGGCCTGTTGCGACAGGACGAGGGGGAACGGTTTTAAACTAAAAGAGGGAGATTTAGAGTAGATAAAAGGAAAAAATTTATTACGCCGAGGGCAGTGAGACGCTGGCGCAGGTTGCCCAATCTGCGATTCGATGATAAACACCCGCGGGGAGGGCGCTCAAAGAGGCCGCAGAATCATAGAACCGTTAATATAATTAATCACAACATTGTTCAGCTTGGAGAAGAGCTTTAGGATCATCGATTCCAACGCGGCCAAGTCCTCCACTAAACCCTCAGCCCCACGTCTTTTAGATTTTTCCAGGAATGGGGACTGCGCCGCTTCCCTGGGCAAGCCCGTTCCAGTGCCTGGCGACCCTTTGGGCGCAGAAATTGTTCCTAATATCCGATTTAAACCTTCCCTGGCGCAACTTGAGGCCGTTTTCTCTCGTCCCATCGCCCCAACCTGTTTTCAGGTCGTCGGAGGGAGCGACGAGGTCTCCCCTCGGCCTCATTTTCTCCAGCCCCAACACCCCCAGCTCCCTCAGCCCCCGCTCGTGTTCCCCGCAGCCTTCCCCAGCCTCGTTCCTTTTCTTTCGACACCTCCAGCCCCTTTTTTGGGGCTCAAAACCAAACACAATATCGGGGGTGTTGAGTACAGGGGGACAATCCCATCCCTCATCCTGCTGGCCACGCTAATTCTGACACAAGCCAGGAGGCTATCGGCCTTTTTGGCTACTTGGGCATGCTGGGTGGAGCCAGGCTTTTACCTGTGGTGCCCAGTGCCAGAACTGGGGGGAACTGGAGGGTCCCTCTGAATGGCTAGAGACAATTTTTGGGTGTGGGGGTCACCCGGGGAGGCGGTGGAGTCTCCGTCCTTGGGGATCTTCATGTTGGGTCGTGGTCTTGGGCGAACGGCTCTGGGTGGCCTCAGGGGTCCCCCTCCGCCTCCCCGTGTTCACCCCCTCTCTCTTCCCCCTCCCCCCCCAGGCTTTGCATCGTTAACGACGAACTCTTCGTCCGCCACGCCCCCAC